ACAATTATTAACTTTAATATGCAGTGGAACCTCAATCAAGTGAACATTGTTTCAACAAATCTCAAGTTGCAACACTTCCCAGGCCAGATTTACTCTTCTGCTTCAGTAAATAAAAGTTTGACGAAGCTGAGGATGTGCGGATTTGCTTAGAATGCAGGGCCAGAGCTCACAGACTGATGGAAAAGTTGTCCATAATATGATAAATTGAAATTAACATTTTACTCAGTGAAATTAGTCTACAGAACATATGAAACATTAGAGCACAAATGATAACTTTCTCATTATGGCTCCAATCACATTTTCAGTGATTTTCATAGATGGATAGAACATTATAAGAAACAGTTGGTGCCTTGGGAAAACTATGGAGAAATTTAAAATAAAATTCTATAGTTCACTTTTATTTTGAGTTGGCAAGGTTTTTATTCACTCTGGTATAACCTCCTGCTACATTTGAAAGTATATGTTGAGGCTGGGGGTGTGAGAAATAAACTAAATGTGGTGAATTTCTTTACATATATGCTCTCTTGGTACTTGATATGGTAAGTTGAAATTTAAATTTTGGTATGTGAAATTAGTCCACAGGGTGTGGAAAATATTAGAGAATTAATCCTAACTTTTTTAATAATGACTCCAATTACATTTTTAAAGAAATTTGTAGATGGACAACACATTAGAAGAAAAAGCCTTGGGAAAGCCATTGAGCATATTTAGAATCATATTCTATGATTCGTTTTCATTTGGAGGGATCGCATTTCATTTATTAAAATATCCTCTTTCTTTGAAAATGAGGTTTTGAGGCTGAGGCATGGGAAATACGCTAGGTATTGTGAAATCTCCTCACTGACGGGTTCTGGTAGTTGTCCATCACATGATAGATTGAATTAATGTTACACTCGGTGAAATTAGCTCTCACAGTTTGGGGAATTTTTAGAGTATGATTGGTAATACTTAATATAGCTTCACTCACATTTTTAATGACTTTTGTAGAAGGAAACAACACTGGAAGAAACCGGTTTAGCATTGTATTTTTCTTATATTTTTTAAAGACATCTCACAAATGCTTTCTGAAGTATCTCCAGTTGCAATGAATCCTTGACCCCAGCGAATCAGGGTTGGTCCCATATAGTTCGCTGAATTGAGGCTGCACTGTACTAATGCTCCCCTCTTAATAAAAATGTTAGGGGATCATCTATTTAAAAAAAATAAGAAATAAACTATCAGTTGTGTTACTAGTGGATATACATAATGAAGATCAGTTGCTTGGAATCAATGTTGTTTTAACCCTTAAACTGCGCAACACGCTTCCGGGTATTTGTATTTTTCACGTTCCATTCAAAACTCCCGCGGCTACATGAAGTTCACATCAGCTTCCTCAGGGCTCTTGTAAACAGACGCCATCTTTAAAAATCGGGTGTGGGAGCCTCAGTAGTGTGTGAGCAACCAAGGCTGGCGCTCGCAGCATGAGCGCACAGCACTGCTGTTCAGCGTGTGACCACAGCATCGCTAATAATGTCAAAATATATATAACTTGTATTATTTAGGCATGATAGTGTTATAGAAGAGCCTGAGTGTGATGACTGGGTACAATGTTCAAATATCAGTGATTCAATGCTGTTCACGATGTTCACAGCGCTACAGCATTATTTCGTCCATCTAGGAATCTTCAAATGATTTCTTAGGTTCCTTTTCAAAATAAACATGTGGTCAATTATTCATTTACAGGAATTAGTGACCAGGATTGTGATAATAGCAGGATTGTGGTTATAATTAGCGTTGTGCGTAGTATTGTGGAAGGAGGAATTTTGGTGAGGGAGGGAGGGAGAGAATTGAGTAGCCTCTGTGTGTGTGTGTGTGTGTGTGTGTGTGTGTGTCAGCCACTCTTGTTTTGCTCACCATACTAGCTTAGTGGTTCGCTATGGGCAACACATATGTACATGTGTATATACAGTGTGTATATAGTGTAATAACAGCAACAGGAGAATGTTGAGAGGAGCTATTTTGGCGAGGGAGGTTACGTAGTAATCGTAGCATCGTCTGCTGTGTGATTTTTCATGCAGTGTATGGTGGCCACTGTACTGTTTGGACACAATACCGGCTTACTTGCATAGTTCTGGTAAATAAAACATGTAGATAGGTATATATAACATGTGTAATAAGAACAATAACAGTATGGCGGGAGGAGCAATGTTGGCGAGTAAGATGTTGGAGTGAGGGAGACTGGCTGGGTGTGGCTGCTCTCACTCGAGGTGTTCTGAGTGTGTTGATGGTGAATGTATATAGTGTGTGACAGTGTATAGTGTGTAAATAGATTGTATATATACATAAATTAGCATGATACATGGTAAATATGTGCAGCATATGTGTACACAAGTGTCATGCACGTAACACAGTGTCTTCGGACAGTACGGATGTTTTACTGCCATAATATAGTGTACGTGTTCATTATACATAGGATTAGCACGTAAAAACAAATAAAATGTATTTGGAACTGTGCGAAAAAATGAACAAAAATATATTTGTGGCAACTCGCACGCCCCGCCCCAGGCGCCCTACTGGCCCTGGGAGCGTACGTCACTGGCGAACGGGGAATGTTGTTGTCACGCGCCAACTTACGGACCCCATAGCAGCCAAAGTAAGTACAATTTCAATTTTTTTTTATATACCCATACAGAGGGAAGGGTTTTTGACACTTTAAAAAATCAAAAGAATTTTTTCCAGAGAATTTATTTCCTGCGCACTGAGGGGTGGAGTGTCATATTTAGAGGCAACGCAGTTAAGGGGTTAATGTACCAAAAACTTGGTGTACCCCAGCTTAGCCGAATGTCCAGTACCTTGTATCAATTTGATGGTTAATAAATATTATTACTTGCACTGTACTGGGGTTCTCGGAACTGTAGAACGTGGAATAAACATGCTGAAAGTAAGTCATAATACCGGGGCTGAAAATTAGACATCCAACTCATACATTTGAAAATAAAGGAAGTGACGACCTTTTGGGCCATCCTGGACCATAATGGATCTGGTGTCTAATAGACAAAATTAAACATGATTATAGAACATGGAATACAAATAATCCCTTAGATAACCAAAACATTAATATTGTACTGGACAATTGATTGAATTTTTTAGTGTATGAAAACAACACGAGATGAAAATGTTGGGAATCAATACACGTCTGAAGAAATATGAAACAAATTACATACTCCTATTGTGCATTTTTTGTTGATGAAATTAAAAACAATTGATTCAACACTCATCTGATTTGCAGACACCATTTATGGAATAATTTGCACTTCACATCAGCTTGAGATTAGATTAAACTAATTTTACCTCTATTTGAATTAACACTTTCGCTCGGCGACAACTCAGCATTGAGTCCTCCGCTAAATAGAGGGAAGTCCGGTAAGGACTCCGCATCGAGTCCTCGGCAGTAATTGGAGGGTGGCAAATTGGCGGCGGCTTCGGGAAGGGCGCCGCGGTTTTGGACATTATATGCATATACTCCTGTAGCGAATTTTATTGGGGATACATTGATACCAAAATGAAAGACCTAGGACCAGAATAGAGGTAACAAAGTTGAAAAGAGTATACCCATTTTATTGCTCTTTATTAGAGCTCACAGGGGGGTAACTCTCCGTCACTTTCTCTGTTGGCTGTGAGTGGTACGCCGGACTTTCGGACTTTATACTTGCATATACTCCTGTAGGGAATTCTATTGCGAACACAATTATACCAAAATGAAAGGCCTAGGATGGGAATCGAGATGTCCAAAGTGGAGAGAGTGAAGAGAAGAGAGAGCTCTTGCACGCTCCTGGGTAAGACGCTCTCACTTTCTCGCCGGGCTTTTGAGCTTTATATTCATTTAACCTTGCAGAGAATTCTATTGCGAACACAGTGACACCAAATTGAAAAACCTAGGACGAGAATTGAGATGACAAAGTTGAAAAGAGTATACACTTTTCAGAATTACCGCACTCTCATTACATTAGAGGTGCCTTGGGATGGCGCAGCGCTCTCTTTCTGGTAACCGCGGCCTGCTTTCATCACGCCAGACCGGTGGAGCACGCTGCTGTTTTTGACATTATATGCATATACTCCTGTTGGGAATTCTATTGCGAACACATTGATACCAAAATAAAAGACTTAGAATAAGAATTGAGGTAACAAAACTGAAAGAGTGTAAACATTTTATCGCTCTTGTGCACTCCCGGGGTAACTCTCGCTTTCTCCGTTTGTTGCGGATAGTACACCGAGCTTTTGGACTTTATATGTCTTTATTCCTGTAGAGAATTCTATTGCGAACATAATGATACCAAATTGAAAAACCTAGGACGAGAATTGAGGTAATAAAGTTGAAAAGAGTATACACTTTTTCAGAACTACCGCACGCTCCTGTGGAATGCCCAAACCCACCCGGGGTAGTGTGGTGCACGCGCGCCCAGAGATCAGTGTTAACACCGAATTTATCGCTGAAATTGAAATAAGTTGTTCCTTGCAACTTGGCAATATTTTACATGATGTAAAGTTGAAAACAAATGTTATTTGGGCTGGACGGTAGAGCAATGGTCTCGCTTCATGCAGGTCAGAGTTCAATCCCCAACCGTCCAAGTGGTTGGGCATCATTCCTTTCCCTCCGTCCCATCCCAAATCCTTATCCTGACCCCTTCCAAGTACTATATAGTCATAATGGCCTGGCACTTTCCCCTGATAATTGCTTCCTTCTTCTTTATCAAACTTTGAGAGTACCTTCCCTCTATATATATGGCAGCAAAAGCCAGATATATGCACAAAATAGTCTGTTTTGTACTCAAGTGTTTAGTACATTGCTGCTGAATAAAGGGAAAGCCAAAGACCACGAGCAAATCATTGTGCAAAATAGTAAAAATACTGTTTATTATAAAGCTTCCATACTTATCAAATTCCAGCAATTGGGACACTCCTCCTTTGCGGCTTTCCAATAACTGTTTACCATAGAGTTAAAGCAATAAAATTAAAATAAATTAAAAATTTTGTTTTATTACCACCCTCTCAGCACTGCCTTTTGGTCACAGTTTAATGAAAATGTTTTGCAAATATCAAGGTTCCATGGCCATAAAAAAGTTTGAAATTGTCTTAGACATCATGGGATGCCCTCTACACCTCGTACCTCACCCACTGCTCCATATACACCTGGACACTCACCTAGTACCTCACCCACTGCTCCATATACACCTGGACACTCACCTAGTACCTCACCCACCGCTCCATATACACCTGGACACTCACCTAGTACCTCACCCACTGCTCCATATACACCTGGACACTCACCTAGTACCTCACCCACTGCTCCATATACACCTGGACACTCACCTAGTACCTCACCCACCACTCCATATACACCTGGACACTCACCTAGTACCTCACCCACCGCTCCATATACACCTGGACACTCACCTAGTACCTCACCCACTGCTCCATATACACCTGGACACTCACCTAGTACCTCACCCACTGCTTCATATACACCTGGACACTCACCTAGTACCTCACCCACTGCTCCATATACACCTGGACACTCACCTAGTACCTCACCCACTGCTTCATATACACCTGGACACTCACCTAGTACCTCACCCACCGCTCCATATACATCCAGGTATATGGAGTGATGGGGTAATGCTGTGGGTTCTTACACCTGTGCGCGCTAAAATTAGCTAGTCAGGTTAATATGATGAACACAAGTGTGTCTCTACCTTTTACTCTTACTCACCAATGGCTGATAATAAACTGCTACGGAAGCACCCAAGAATAATAACAAATTTGTTGTATCCTGTGCAAATTTATCCTTCAGTTTATAGCAATATAAACAAATGTTTAATGTATAATAATGTACTAATTAGCTCTAATGTACTAATTATTCTAATGTACTAATTAGTTCTAATGTACTTGTTATACATTACACTAATGTCTAATTGTACTAATTGATGTACTAATACTATGTATAATGTTTATGATTACACACAGCATTAGTACAAGGGGTGGCAGATTAAGCAAGTGCATTAATGACTAGCCCATATTACTGGGGTGTGTGTGTGTTGCTAGCTCATATTTCCCATGTGAACCCTTCAAGCCCACACACACACTCCCTCTCGCTAGGCCTACCCATATTGCATAGCCTGTCAGTCAGTGGACTTGGTGCTACAGGTTTACATAAAACACTTCGCAGTGACCAGGTATGGGACAGTTCATACCTTGGTCTACTGTCACTAAGCTTCCTCACTTAACATTCAATTCTCTTACGCAAACATTCATGTCATGCACACTAATAATCTTCTACACAATGAAGAGTCTTTATGCAATCCTTTATTTTTATAGGGGCCTAAAATATTACCACATTTACTTATGAACTCCAATTTCCATTTTTAATTTGTTTATATTAAAAAACTTCAGGTTGGACATTTGTTGAATATATCTTTAAAAATTTAAGTAACATTTGAATAATGAATTATAAAATGTTGCATCACAGAATTGAGACATTTTACCCGAATATCAGGTGGTTTGACCACTGTGCCGTCCCTGGGTAACACTAACAATCCCTAGGTTCACCAGCCTCAGTCAAGGTCTATCTTGACTAATGCATCAGCTTGTCTGTTGTACACTCTTGACTCGCTCATCTTGGTAAGGGCCTGTTTAAAGTCAGCTCTTGTTATGGGCCGTAGAGGCTCTGTTGACTCGCTCATCTCACGTTCTTGCAGTGGCACAGCCTCTGTTTCCTGACCACATCTGCAAAATATACTCCAACTAAGTCACTCCTGGAAACACCAGATTAAAGGGAAAGAGAACAGTATGTCTTTCACTTGTTTTTAGTTCCTCTTTACTTCATTAGGTAATCCTGTAACTAGTTTTTAAAATATAATCAAAAAGAATTCTCAAAGTTGTCATAAATTTATGTGGCTGCTATTGTTTCTCTTCACCCCAACTTTCTATCATAGTTATCTAGTTTTCTCTTTCAAAACTGGAAAGACACCCAACATTTTCTTCTACCTTCTCATTTAGTACCATCAAGGTAAAAAAAGGTATTATCACCCTAGCCAACCATAAACTTGGACTACCATTCTGAAGTGAAATCCAAACTAATACACAATTCGTTTTATATCTCTGGAATTGTCATAACAGTCATGACTCGAACAAAAATCATTGCAAATTCTACAGCATCATACTACAGTAGTAGTAGCAATACAAATAATGTATACTGTACAAAGAAGTAGACACTACTTTCATACACAGTTTTGCATCTTCCCTCTTGTATGTACTCTACTTTCATTTGACAATACATTTTTGAGTAAATACTTCCTATTGAATAACTCACGTCTCACTGAGCAGGTGACGAAGCCTGTATACAGCTGCTGTACGGCACAATTCTAATAAATCTGACCCAGAAAAGCTCTCTGTCTGTCTGGCAAGGATGGCAATGTCAGTGTCGTCTGCCATGGACTCATCACGTAAGACCAAGCGGAGGATGTCTTCACGCTGTTGCAAACCCTGAAAGAATATAAATGCAACATTGTCTACATTTACAAGAAGGCTAAACAAAATTGTTGTGCAGACAGCTATAATGACTTATAAAGTAATCACAATTTTTCACACCTTTTAAAATAACTTAAAATGTATTACAAAATTGAGAATTTCTTCATCCTTCTTATGTTGTCAATGTAAACATCACAAGCTGCACAATGTAGGCATAAAATGTGAAAGCTTTGTGAATCTGGGATGGTTTAAAAGTAAACCAAAACACCACTAGTTCACTCAAAACATATGCTGAAGGTAAACCAAAACATATGCTGAAAGTGCATAAACTGCCACGGTGTCAATGCAAAACAAAAATACACAGAGCTTGCACAAAAGGGGGTATTGCGACATCAACAGGCTCACTAGTAAAGAACACTCACTTTTTCATACATAAACAGTAATAGAAAAGTACTTTTGGAGAGTGATGAGCATGTCATGTACAGTATGGAGTTAGCAGAATGCTGTTAAATGGTGCACATGTTTATATGTTATTGTAGTAAGTGACTGGTTTAATATTAATGAAGGTATCCTTTAGGGTTGTGTGTGATCATCCTGGTTGTTCAGTATATATGTAGATGGGGTCAAGAGGTAGGTCAAGGTAAGAATGTTAGAATGGCGGTTGTAATATGAGTATACATGGTATATCAAATTTGATGTGAGCACATGATACATAGTTTTTAGGAGAGTAGAGAGAGAGAGAGAGCTATGTAAAGTAATTATCATGAGAAAGCACTAAACCATTATGATTATACAGCACTTGGAAGGGATGAGGATAAATATTTGGGACAGGACAGAGGAAAGGAACAGTGCCCAAATGAAAAAAAAAGAGAGCTATGTAGGCTAGTTGAAAACTTTATTATGTGCACAAATTATTAAAATTTAATGTAGATAAAAATGACGGAGAGAAAGAGAAATTGTGTGAAATAAATGTGAATAGGGAATTTCTAAAGGTGGTCAATAAATTTGAATATCTGGGATGTGCTATTGCTAGATGTGGTATATGTGCAATTAAACTTGAGAGTAAGGTCAATCAGGAAAGGGACAGTGGCTGGTAAAATTATAGGTCTGGTGTGGAAACACAAGAGTTGTACAGATGCAGCCACAGGTCTGCATGAAAGGGCGATGGTAAAGACTTATGTATGGGTGCATCACCATAGTGCCATAAACAGCAAAAGCCAAGAGTTACAGCAGTAGAAATAAATAAATTTGAGAAGCATGTGTGGCGTTAGGAGAATAAAGTAATCAATAAATATCTCGGGTAGGAATGTGGGGAACAAAAGTCAACAAATTGGAGGAGCAAACAGTGCACATTGAGACGGTCTGGTTGTGTTCAATAGATGGATGATGTTACACTGGTTAAGAGTGCTTATTCAAATTAATTTGAGGGTAAAAGTAGAAGAGGAAGTCTGAAAAGAAAGTTGGCAGACACGGCAAAGAATCAAGGAAGTGGAGAGTGATGGTTTACGGCTCAAGACATGGTAAGGAAAAAGGCTGAAGGAATTGGTTTGTAAGAAGGTTGTAAATGCATCTGTATATAAATATGACAATTCATGAAGAGCACTGTACACCTGGTGGTAGGGGTGGTGGGTGCTGCAGTGTGGTAGTGCTTGTTTATCCATGATGCTATAAGTCCTGCAATGAGAGGACAAGTGACATTTGTAATGTTTAACTACTCATATCAATAACCCTCTTCTGTGTTACTTACCTTTTCTCCAGGCTCATGCCTCTCTACCCCATGAAAGTGAAAAAATGGGGTAATGGTAATGTGAGTATGTAAAAAAGTTGTTTCTTGTTGGACAAATAGGAAAACTTGTTTTATTATATATATATGTCGTACCTAGGAGCTAGAACGCATTTCTCGGCCTACTATGCAAGGCCCGATTTGCCTAATAGGCCGAGTGAGTTTCTTTATTTTCAACAAATTGTTTCCAATTGATTTATTTGATTATTAATATATTATATTAGGAACATAAATTATTGATGAAGTTATGTTAGATTAGGTTAGGTTAAGATAGGTTAGGTAGGGTTGGTTAGGTAAGGACATATATCTACCTTAGTTTTAACTCAAATTAAAAAATAATGAACTCGACCATAATAAAATGGATAACTATCATTTCATAAGAAAAAAATTAGAAAAATATATAAATTCAGGAAAACTTTGCTTATTAGGCAAATTGGGCCTTGCATAGTAGGCCAAGAACTGCATTCTGGCTACTAGGTACAACATTATTTATTTATTTAATATATATATATATATATATATATATATATATATATATATATATATATATATATATATATATATATATATATATATATATATATATATATATATATATATATATATTTTTATTTTAGTATATTTTGGTAGCAGTCTTTCCTGTAGACATACATTATTAAATATGACCGAAAAAGTAAGATTAATAATTCTAACACGAATTTTCTCAATATTTCTTATGTTTTTCTTCACTGTCGGTGGTAATGGAAATCTCAATTCTCCAAAATTCATTTTTTTATGGTCTGATGCCTGAACGCGTTTCATAATGGCTTATTACATTTTCAAAGACTAATTTACACACATATTCATCGTACTTATACTCTATTGGGTGAGGTGATATGGTACAAAAGTTTTGGGTGAGGTGAACAAACTTGTGATAAACACAAGACAGAACACAAAACAATGGGTATAACTTGGATATGAGAACATAAGAATGGAAGTAACTGTAGAAGGCCTATTGGCCCATACAGTATTTCCTCTTGCTGCTTCCATATTGGTTCGGGGTCTTGAAGTGGGTAGAATATAGTTGTGCATTAATTGATTGTTGATAGCTTGTGTTGACTTTTTGATGTGTAGTGCCTCGCTGATGTCGAGCTGCCTGCTATTGCTGTACCTATCGATGATTTCTGTGTTGTTTGTTAAGATTTCTCTGGTGATGGTCTGGTTGTGGGAAGAGATTATATGTTCCTTGGTCGAGCCCTGTTGTTTATGCATTGTTAATCGCCTGGAAAGAGACGTTGTTGTCTTGCCTATATACCGAGTTCTTTGGGGCTTACAGTCCCCAAGTGGGCATTTAAAGGCATAGACGACGAGTTTCCTTCAGGGCATTCTGCTTAGTATCTGGGGAGTATTTCATGAGTAGATTGGCAGTTTTTTGTTTTATAGTAAATTGTCAATTGTATTTTCTGATTTTTGTCTGTAGGGATAACGTTCCTATCAACAATATCTTTCAGGACCCTTTCCTCCGTCTTATGAACCGTCGAAAAGAAGTTCCTGTAAAATAGTCTAATAAGGGGGTACAAGTGTTGTGTTGATTGACTCTTTAGAGGTTGCATGGCATTCCACCTTTCTTTTTAGGATATCTTCAACAAAACCGTTAGAGAAGCCATTGTTGACTAGGACCTGCCTTACCCTACAGAGTTCTTCATCGACTTGCTTCCATCCCAAGCTGTGGCCGAGAGCACGGTCGACATAAGCGTTGACAACACTCCTCTTGTACCTGTCTGGGCAGTCACTATTGGCATTGAGGCACATTCCTATGTTTGTTTACTGCAGTGTGGAAGCCTCCGCTCCTTTCTGTTTTGACTCCTTATGTACCTTGTGCTTTCAGCCTGAAGTCTACCAAGGAATTTGCTGACTTACTGCGGGGAGCACGGGCCACAGGGATAAGAGCCTCGTTGGATGTAGAGTCACTATTTACTGAGTTACGATATAAATTTGATCGGAAAATGTGACTCGACTTACGATAGTGTCGTCGACTAACGATATTTGTTGGTACACGTTTGGGTCGACCGAGCGCATGGTTCCCAGTCACGTGGGCCGACCTACTTCAGTTTACTAGAGCTGCCCCCTTAGTGACGATCACGCTTACAAGAAATTCAATTTTTCTGGTGATTTTTTGCCTTTAGAACATAAAACTGATTATTATATATCATGCCATGGGTCCTAATGAAGTCAGTGGTAAGGTTCATCATATGAAAACACATAAGGATGACCATAGAGCAAAAACAAGAGATCATTCGTAAATATGAAGATGGTGTGCAGGTTGTTAAACTAGCTAGGCAGTACAACAAACCTCAGTCAACGATATCCACCATACTTACTAGGAAAAAGAACATTATGAGTGCTAAAGTGGCAAAAGGCATAATAATAATCATGAAATATAGACCAAAACACGTTTAGATGTTGAACAGTTATTATTAATTTGGATACACAGCAAGGAGTTAGAAGGTGATAGCATTTCAGAAGCCATCATATGTGAAAAGGCAAGGAAATTGCATGAAGATTTTATAAAGAACACCCTTGGAACGAGTGATGCAGATGTGAAAGAGTTTAAGGCAAGCAGGGGATGGTTTGAAAAATTTAGAAAAAAGAAGTGGCATTCATAGTGTTGGGAGCTGGTGAAGGAACACAGCTAAGAACTGACCACCGAAGAACTTCACAAGGAGCAGCAACAAGAGACAGCTGAGGAAATTTCTTCAGGGGGAGGAGGTGGCAGTACAGAATGTCCCTTACTCATTAATTAAAAAAATGTGTGCAGCATGGGAAGAACTGCAAACTTTTGCTGAAACGACTCACATATGGTAGGAGGCCGTTGCCTACTACCTACTACTACATGGTGCAGTAGGCCGTTGCCTTAACCTTTTTAATGACACTGTGATGCCTCACTACAGACAAAAATTAAAATGTACGGAAAAACAAAAATCTATTGAAAGGTTTTTAGTGAGACAAGCAGTGAATCACAACCAGGTCCTAGTGGTATGCAAGCAAAACGTACGAGTGTGTGTACCCCAGAGAAGTCATCACTGCCTGATGTTATAATGGATGGGGACTCCCCCTTCAAACAGTAACACCTCCCCTCCTTCCCCCTCCTTACCATCTTCCATACGCCAACAAGAGTCCTCGATAAAGGTAAGATGAACATATGTACTGAATTGTAGAGAAAAAAATTGTGTTCAGTGTAAAATGTATTTTTAAGTTAATATTTTTGTGGGTGTGGAACGGATTAATTCAATTCCCATTATTTCTTACGCTAAATTCATTTCAACTTACAATATTTCGACTCACGATCTGTCTCTGGGAATGGATTAACATTGTAAGTCGAAGCTCCACTGTAATTCAAATATACTGTTCAAGTATTTGAACCCATCATAACACAGTACAAGTGGTCTAAGACCGCAGAGAAACAGACACCATTGTACACACTTATAAACTGCTGCCACCCAACCTTGTCCTTACTATGCCCTGTGTGCTCTTCACACTAAATGTCCACCACCTCACACAATCATTTTTCCACCTTCTTTTCCTCTTGCTCCCAAATACGGCCCTCTCTTCACTGGCTCATCAATAGCGATTTATTACACATGCAAAATCTAGAGACAATATGCCATAGTCAAATGAATAAGTGAAATGCTAGGGACAGAAACAGATAGCTGGTAGAAAAACTGAAATTAAATCTTGAAAAATTTAACAACTGACTGGCAGAGGAATGTGGAAGGCAGCTGGCATGCGACGAAGTATGGCACGATCCACATCATTAGGCCTGTTGGTGGCACCCATGACTATGACACAGCGGCTGTGATCAGTGGCAAGGCCATCCCACTGCTGCAGGAACTGTGCTTTCATCATGGCTGTTGCTTCATGATCTCCAGTCGCACGCACACGTAAGAATGAATCTGTCATGGTGACAAAAGAATAATTAATTTGCTAAATATTAAATAGCATAAAAACAATGAATCATTTGTTATCTATAATACTTAAATATGAAAATTATATATTTTAATCCAACTATAGCGTAAGAACCTCACACTTTTAACCCTTGAACTCAGCATAACATCATATGATGTTTCATTCTTCTGAGCTCTAGGAGATTCGAACCATGGACCCCACGCATGTGAGGCAGAGGCTCTATCCACTCAGCTGTGAGTAGTCTTGATACTTTCGTCTGGTGGAGATGGAAATTGCATCCATAATTAATTCTACGGGCGTCTGGCGGAGACGCATTTTGCATCCAAAATTAAAATATTTGTTAAAATTCCATTTATTATTCGATTATTATGGAACTAAGTTTAAAATGTGCACCTTTAGATTGCAAACCATTTGATACCAAAATTAACAACGTAGCATGACAATCAAGGTCAGAACACTGGAAAGATTATAAATACTTGTATGGTGATGAACGTCCAAAATTGTTCAAATTCCATTTATTGTTCGATTATTATGGGACTAGTTTTAAAATGCGTGCCTTTAGTTTGCGAACAATTTGATACCAAAATGAATGACATGGTTCAGAAATTGAAGTCAGAACACTGGACAGAGTATACACATGTTAGTGAGGGTGCACACTCCCGGGAAATGCCAGAGCCACCTTGGGGTGGGTTGGGGTGCGCACACCGGGTGCGGCAAAGTGTTAATTAATAAGGAAAGATTCCAGAAGCAACTACTGCTGCTATGCTGGAATATTTAACTTTCCTTCACTATGTCATATAAATTGTCAAAAATGAATGTTTGAATGAAATGTTTATTTCTATGGCAGTGTGGATGACAATTTAAATCATATGATGTTTTAGGTACATTGCAACATTTGAACTCCTGCTGGCGCACGGTGTGCTCATTTGGTATTTGAGGCTTCCAGTAAACATTAGCCTTCTTGAAAAATAACATTTTTGGGGACATTGTTCCTATGCTCCAGGCATGGTTTTTAAAAATATACGAAGACAAAACCTTGTTTTAAATACTGTACTATTTTATGTGTGCATGCAGACAATGTCTCGTATAACCCTTCCATAAAGCAAGCAGATGCAATTAAACCAGTATATTTTAATATTATAATAACACTCTTTTTTACCAATTTCATCAATAAATATGATGCATGGCTCAATCTTCGAGGCTAGGGAGAAGACGGCTGAGGAGAGTTTCTGAGACTCTCCATACCACTTGTCTGTCAAGGCTGCAACATCCAGGTTGATAAAGCGAGAACCAGCTTCCTTGGCAATGGCACGGGCTAAGAGAGTCTTGCCGCAGCCTGGAGGCCCATGCAGTAACACACCTGAAATGCATACAAAACACAGTTTCTAACATGAATCATTATTACCCCATTTTCAATTATTATTGGATGTGAGGAACCGGCATGGAACAGGTTAAGATGCACCAAAGACATTTATAGATTTGTAAAAAATTGGCTCAGAAAAGGAGGTATACATGCTGAGACAATAACAAGTGTCTTGAAGAATTCAAGAGACACAAAAATGAAAAGAATAATGAAATGAAAACAAATCAGAGCATCAGCAGAAGCATGAGTGGTGTTACATAGCCTTAAGCTAGCCTATAATCATGCTGGATGTGTGTGCAAATTGTATGGATTTTAAAAAACATTTACATGAGCGTAACAACATCCCCTAACTTATATTCAATAATAGCATGACCTGCCAAGTTTGACTGAAAACCTTACTGCATTTCTGGTGTTTTTATAACCGATTCCATCCATATTACAAATACAGGATAGGATGCATTTATTATGAGAAGCGATTACTGGAAGAACAGCTGCTGCTGATTCCTGGGAACAAGTTCCCATATCTATAGGTAGGGAGAACTGACTCTGTAATGAAGAGGAAGGCTGAAAGTAAAGTCTTTGGACTTAATAGAATGTAAAGTAAGCTTATCTAAGTACAGTATGGGAAATGAAATAACTATTAATGGGAAAATGTTCACTACATACAAACATAGCAAATGTTTATCAAGTAACCAAGTATAACAAGGCTGACAAAGAAATGAATGTGAGTATAGAGAAGTATATCTTGTAAAACTTTGAAAGAAATTATAGAAAAAAATTGGCCCTAAAAATGAAAGGACCCAGTGAAATTCTTTAATTTGCAGCTCTTTGAGCTCCTATTCTTAGGGAGTAAAACTGAAGAGTACCTCTGGTAAGATTTTGAAAAAAAATGTATATATTTTTTGTAAAAATCACAAAAACTTAAGTCCATTCATGTTTAAGAGCAAAATTGGTTTCTCTCATATTTCTTTCAAAATTTCACCAGATGTACTTCTCTGTATGCTGATAATGGATACCGAGTAAAAGATCCAGCACTGATGTAATGAAATGCCTCATACTGTCGGGTCCCTCAATGGTCAGGTTATCTTGAGATGATTTCAGGGCTTAGTGTCCCCGTGGCCCAGTCCTCGAACAGGCCTCCTTTTTGTTACACATCCCCAGGAAGCAGCCCATAGCAACTGTCTAACTCCCAGGTACCTATTTACTGCTAGATAATAGGGGCATCAGAGTGAAAAACATTTTGCCCATTTGTCTCCGCCTCCACCCTCCACCAGGGATCGAACACAGAACCTCAGGACTGCGAATCCGAAGCGCTGTCCATCCAGCTGTCAGGCGCCCTGGTAAGTGCTACACAAGTTCTGAGGTATGCCACCAGGCTAGTCCACAAGCTGAGAGGAATGAGCTATGAGGAAAGATTACTGGAAGTGAACCTCACAATAGGTTGAAGATAAGAGTTAGTGGAGACATGATCACTACTAACAAAATTCTCAGAGGAATTGACAGGGTAAATAAAGATAAACTGTTTAACACGGGTGGTACGCGAACAAGCACACACACGGCTGGAAATTGGGTACCCAAATGAGCCACAGGGACATTAAAAAGAATTTCTTCAATGTCAAGGGTAGTTAACAGATGTAATGCATTAGGGAGTGATGTGGTGGAGGCAGACTCCATATACAGTTTCAAATGTAGATATGATAAGAGCTCAGTAGGCTCAAGAATCTGTGCACCAATTAATTGACAGTTACCAGCTTGATGGGGTTCTGAGAGTTGTTCTACTCCCCAAGCCCAGCCCGAGGCCAGGCTTGACTTGAGAGAGTTTGGTCCACCAGGCAGTTACTTGGAGTGGCTCGCAGGCCCACATACCCACCACAGCCCGGTTGGTCCGGCACTCCTTGAAGAAAACTATCTAGTTTTCTCTTGAAGACGTCTATGGTTGTTCCGGCAATATTTCTTATGCTTGCTGGGAGGATGTTGAACAACCGTGGACATCCGATGTTTATACAGTGTTCTCTGATTGTGCCTATGGCACCTCTGCTCTTCACTGGTTCTACCTGCATTTTCTTCCATATCGTTCACGCCAGTACGTTGTTATTTTACTGTGCAGATTTGGGACCTGGCCCTCCAGTATTTTCCACCTATATATTATTTGATATCTCTCTTATCTCCTTTTTAGTGAGTACATTTGGAGAGCTTTGAGAGATGATCCCAATAATAATAATTTAATAATTATAATTAATAATAATAATTAAAAATTTATTATTATTATTACTACTACTTTCCAATAATAATAATTAAGTTGAGAGGTAGGACCAAAGACCCAGAGCTCAAACCCTGCAAGCACAACTAGGGGAGTACACATGTCACACCAGGCCCATGCAAGTGAGACTATCATCTATGGCAGAACAAAGGCTAAAACCTGGTCTACTCACAAAGGCACAGAGGAGCAGCAGATATCTGATCACTCAAGTCAAGAGAATAGATCACCAGAATGGTAGAACAAACTAAAACAAATCAACTGCAAAGGAAATACCAGTATTAGCAACCTCTGACAACAAAGAACATGGTGACAACATATGCAAGCCAAAAACACTTATAAGACAATAGAAGCCCTTGCAGATGAGGGACCAGACTACCTAGACCAACGCACAAAGGGGAAGCTAGGCCACTAAGAATCAAATCATAAAATGTTGTGCATGCAACTCAGGCAAGGGTTCAATCTTTTATCAGCACAAAATCCTATATTGGTTTTTGTTAGTACTGTCCAAAAAATTGGATGATGATAATAATAATAATTTATTTTGTCAGGGACAGGCAGCCTGTGTATTTATATATTAGGCTGATATTAAGGTCACCCCCCCCCAAGGTCAAAGTACTGACACTCCCAATAACGCACAGTAACTCCCATTTACTACACAGTGAACAGAGGCATTAGGTAATGTGCCCGTAGAACCATTACTGTTCCACCCAGGATTCCTAACCCAGATTCCAGCCCGTCCTCCAAACAAAGACTGAAAAGCGATTCCATGCACCCGCCAAACCACCTATTTATGAATGAAAAACGGTTTACACACGACTCAATTGATTTCGTTCCAACACTTCTGAAACAAGTGCTTCACTGACGAATTTTGTTCGAACCACAATGCTGTAAATGCTTCACCCACGTACTACAAATCCAAATAATCGCCAACAGAACCTAAACACAGAACCTAACCTATGCCTATATATGCACAATATGCTAATATATTATAATATTAATTTATATTTGAGAAAATTCCTGTTTTGAATGAACAGCATGTTAAAATTTATGAGTGCGTCTGTGGGGTCGACCGCTGGATGTAATGGACTTGAGTCGAGGATGGGTTGCAGATTCAAACCCAGATTTCCTAATTATGAGTTGAGAACAAATCCAACTGTACTACAGAGGCATTGTGACAAAGAATAACCAATACAGTACAATATTCCTCTGAACTTTAATTGTGGTTTAAGCCAATACCTTTGGGAGGCTGAATAAGCCTTGATGCCTGAAGTCGATTTCTCTGCTGAATGGGTAATATGAGTGTTTCCCGCAAATCTCGGATGACAGATGAAAGGCCTGCCACATCTCTCCACGATGTAGAAAGTTGTGTTGGTTCCACCAATTGACTGGCAATCATCATTTCATATTCACTGAGCTGTAAAGCATGTTCACAAGCCAATGAAATAGGAGTAATGTGGAATCTATTATAAACATGACAAATAAGTCTAAGCAAGATATGAGCATTAAAAGCAATCATGAAGTGAGGCTGTGACAAGTACCAAGTACATATTCATACACCATGCAAAATAATTTTGCAAACACTTAAAATAATGGGTTGATTGATTTGTTTAATTGTTACCACAGACATGGTCATCACGTTACAACAATGAGATTGATATGTGGCATGACAAAGAAAGACGTCAACAATGAAAACAACACAGGTGAGCTAATGACTACAAAGAGTTGTCAACCGGTTAGAAATGAGGAGCAAGATGAACAGGACTCGGTGAGAGACATTTACAAACAGTGAATGGTAGTAGGCTGGGGAACCATGTGTATGGTAATAGTAGGGAGACAGTGTATGGTAGTGGCTGAGGATGTGTATGGTAGTGGCTGCCTTTAACATTATATCCCAGGAATTTATATTTCCTAACTTGAGCACCAACGTCGACCATAACTCACTGTAACCTTCTGCGTGATGCCAAGTCTCTGCATCACTTCCTGTGCCTGAAACCAATGAAGAGATCTTATCACAAAAAAAGAATATACTGTAGTATATCTACCTATAATTTAGTTTGTCTAATATTTTTTGTTTAATATTATTTCCAAGACACTATTATAATTATATTTTCTATGGTTCAATAAAGCATTGAGTTTTGGAGCTAAGCAAAATACTGTATATAGGTAAGGCTCACGGATATTACACTTCTCATTCCCCAAGACAGTCAACAGTAATATACAGCATTATATTTTGACATGGTGAATACTGTATCACTTTTGTGATCAATTTACTAGTTGGATAGAGAAGCAAACGAGATGTATAAATATTGTACAGTATCAAAGCTTAAAAGCCACATGAATTGGCCTTATCCAGTGAATACAATAAATTTGGTTGCCAAAAATATTTTAAAAGTTACACATCCCAGCTATATCTACCACCGTATCTATGCACAGTTAACTGTCAGCACTCCTCCACACTGACTGTCTTATCTTTCCACAAATGCTAGCACTTCTCAAATTTATCACACACTTATCATTAACTGGAAATTGTATTTACTAATTATCTATCAGGAATGCAAATAAACTTGCCTTCCTCTTGGCATCTTTTTTCTGCTTGGCCGTGGGATCCATGGCAGATACCAAAAGTTTGACAGTGATGTATGATGCAGCAGTTGCAAAGGCCAGACGAACTAGAAGGGACAGCACCTCCCCGCGGGTCAGCTCCCCTCTGCTAGGCAAGGAAGTAAATGAGATGTATGCCAAATTTTGCAAAATATATGATGAAGGCACAAACATTTATACCAAACAAAAGATGCAGACCTAGGAAACAGGGCCAGTTCAACAGAAATTGCAAGAGGGCCAGAGATCAAGAGACACAAGCATGGAATCATTATAGGAAGAGGCCAAACCCCCAAACATACCAGCGATACAAAGATGCGAGAAACAACTACACGTCAGTAAAAGAGAGGGCAGAGAGGAACTTTGAGAACGGTATAGCAGACAAATGTAAATCAGATCCAGGCCTTTTCTATAAATTCATTAACAGCAAGCTGCAGGTAAAGGATAATATTTAGAGGTTGAAAATGGGAGATAATCATGAAAAGTGAAAAGGAAATGTGTGAACATTAAACAAAAAGTTCCAAAGTTAGTTTGTACAAAATGAAATCTTCAGAGAACCAGACAAAATAAGAATTACAGAGAACAACAAAGAGTACATAGAGGTGTCTAGAGATGAAGTGAAACAAATGCTCTTGGAGCTAAGTAAGAACAAAGCAGTTGGCCCAGATAGAGTTTCACCATGGGTTCTGAGAGAATGTGCACCTGAGCTCAGCATTCCACTTCAGCTGATTTTTCAGACATCCCTGTGTACAGGAGTCGTAGCAGACGTGTGGAAAAAGGCTAACATAGTTCAAATCTACAAAAGTGGCAGCAGGGAAGACCCCCCTCACTTATAAACCTGTATCGTTGACAAGTGTAATAGTCAAAATATTGGAAAAATAATTAAAACTAAATGAGTAGAAGACTCGGAGGCAAACAATATAATATCAGACATCCAGTATGGTTTTTGATCTGGAAGATCCTGTGTAACAAATTTACTCAGTTTCTATGATCGACCCACAGAGATTTTACAGGAAAGAGATGGTTGAGTTGACTACATCTATCTGGACCTAAAAATTTTGACACAGTTCCACATAAGAGGTTGTTCTGGAAACTGGAACATATTGGAGGGATGACAGGTAAACTTCTAACATGGATGAAAAATTTTCTAACTGATAGAAAAATAAGGGCAGTAATCAGAGGCAATGTATTGGACGGGAGAAATGTCAGAAGTGGAGTACCACAAGGTTCAGTTCTTGTACTGGTGATGTTCTTTGTCTACATAAATGATTTGCCTGATGGAATACAGAATTATATGAACATGTTTGCTGATGATGCTAAGATAATAGGAAGGATAAGAAACTTAGATGATTGTAATGCCCTTCAAGAATACCTGGACAAAATAAGTATATGGAGTAACACTTGGTAAATGGAATTTAATGTGAATAAATGCCATGTTATGGAATGTGGAATAGAAGAACATAGACCCCACACAACCTATAAATTATGTGAGAAATCTTTAAAGAATTCTGATAAAGAAAGAGATCTAGGGGTGGTTCTAGATAGAAAACTATCACCTGAGGACCACATAAAGAACGTTGTGCGAGGAGCCTATGCTACTCTTTCTAACTTCAGAATTGCTTTTAAATACATGGATGGCGAAATACTAAAGAAATTGTTCACGACTTTTGTTAGGCCAAAGCTAGAATATGCAGCGGTTGTGTGGTGTCCATATCTTAAGAAGCACATCAACAAACTGGAAAAGGTGCAAAGACATGCCACTAAGTGGCTCCCAGAACTGAAGGACAAGAGCTACGAGGAGAGGTTAGAGGCATTAAATATGCCAAAACTAGAAGACAGAAGAAAAAGAGGCGATATGATCACTTCGTACAAAATAGTAACAGGAATCGATAAAAATAAGGAAGAATTCCTGAGATCTGAACTTCAAGAACTAGAGGACACAAACTCAAGCTAAGGAAACCAATGTGCTGCATATAACATTAGAAGAAATTCTTTTGCAAACAGAGTGGTAGACGGTTGGAACAAGCTAGGTGAGAAGGTGGTGGAGGGCAAAACTGTTATTAGTTTCAAAGCATTATATGACAAAGAGTGCTGGGAAGATGGGACACCACGAGCATAGCTCTCATCCTGTAACTACACTTAGGTAATTACACTTATATTCATTGTCTACATAAATGATCTACCAGTTGGAATACAGAATTATATGAACATGTTTGAAAAATATCAATTCTCATTACGATACCACAAATCCCATCTTGTTCTACTACAATATTTCAACAGAATATAAGAATAATCTGACAACAGACTATTATAAAACATGCATTTTATCTGAAATTAATGTTAGATTAAGGAGCTGCCCGAAACGCTGAGCGTACTAGTGGCTTTACAAAATTGTAAATACTATGCTATGTATTCTCTCTAACCCAATGTACCTTCTTGTATATAAATAAATAAATAAATAAATAAATAAAATAAATAAATGTTCTCTGGTAGTCGTGTATATGCTGGCTAAGAATGATTATGCCTCTCATACAAGTCAGAGTGGTGTTAAGGTGGTGTTAGGTGGTGAGCCGGTACCATAACACCTGGTAGTTGGGAAGACACAGTGGGCGGCCAGGGTATGTAACACAGCAGTGACAGTGGCAACAGCTGTGTTGTCATACAGGTGTAACAGCAGGCAAGGCGTGACACCACTCCCTCTTCCAGGGAGACCGCTGCCAGTCATGGCCGACTGGACATGAATGTGTGCATGTATTTAACCCCCTCGTCATCACCATGTATATATATACACCGCACCGGTCAAACTAACGACCACACTCTCACATACAGCTGACACTAACATCACCGTGATGAGGCCAGGACGTCGTCTGCAGCCACTCACACCACCTCTCCTCTCCTCTCTCCTCACTCTTCCCCTCACACGCTCCTCTCTCTTCGTCTCTTCTTCTACTTTTATGTCCTTCTCCTTCTCCTCTTCTTAACTTTTAGTAAAGCCACAGAAAGGACAGACGCGAAGTGAAGGCGACCACGGGAATTGTAGCACGG